AATGTCAAAACTATTTGTGGCTCAAGGGCAGCATGAAACCAGGCTGCATATCTGGGCCATATCTGGGCCCAGGCCACAGAGGGTAGGGGCAATTTTTTCGGGTGAGGGACAAGTGAAATTCTGTGCCACCAAAGAAAGGGTTCCTACTAAATCTAAGAATGGGTCTCAATCGAGGGGGAAGTGATTGGATTCAAGAAATTAAATTATTGCAAGAGTTCTTTAGGCAGCTTAGCGAAATCTATTTACATACAGGGTACTAATTAAACATTTTTGGCCTTTTCATTAAAACAGACCGCACCCACTGCTGGCCTGTGTTTGTGTTGTTCTAAGCACTTAAGACAGCAAATGGCATTTTCTTAATTACCCTAAGACAATTTTGATTAACACAAGTTGCTTTTGTGTGCATAGTGCAACTCATTGAGGTTTTATCCCATATGGGCTTGACCCCGTAAGCATGACTCAGAACTGGTAGGTCAAAATGCCCAGCCTCTTGGCAGGGAGGAAATAATTCTACCCAGAAGGGGATGGTTAATGTTTAACAGCCTACTCTCTGAAAAAATGTATGGGCATATATAGGTACAGTTGTTCATTTTCACGGAAAGAAAGGTTGTGAAGTGCCCAATTAATAAGTGATAAATTATATAATACTCTTTATTGTGAATTCCATATAGCTAATTAATTCTCATAGAATGCATTCGCTCATTTTTGCTGAGCTTTTGCCTTCACAGCTCACCGCTGCTTGCAGCAGTCATAATTTGGCAAAGCAAAACTATGAATACATGTTTGATTATTATCCAGTCAGCCCAGAATTTCCTCATGTCATTGATAAGTGAAATGAGTCCCAACATGAATGTTGATTGACATTTTTATGTTCGTGACTGAGGCCTAAAGGGGAATGTTGCGACTTCAATGACATGAGCAACCTCTGCTGACTCATAGGACAGTTTGAAAATACTGCCAGAATAGTCACTCGAACAATCTCACTAGTCACAATATAAGGCTGGAGACATGGCACATTTTTAAAATTTAATTTGCATTTCCCCCGGTTTCCCTCACTTTATTTATTAGACAATAAATAAAACAAAAAAGTCTCGATTTTTAGCGTTTGCCAATTTCACTGGTGTAAATACTCCCACCCTGGATCATTTCAAGCTACTAGAAGGTAGAGTTGGGAAAAGATGCACCGTTATGGTATTATTTCTATAGTACAATCAACAGCTTGCAAAATTCCCGAAAATGTGAAGATCAGCTCTGGAGTCAGCTCAGACTGGCTTTGGCTTGAGTACATGTTACATCTCATTTATCTAAAACTGTCTTGCAGGTAGCAACCAAGAACTACTAAAGAAACTGCTTTGTTAAAATTAAAAAAAAAAAAATGAAAAGACAGTAAGGATCTCACTACGCAGATAGCTCAGAATCAGTTTGTCATCTAAATCTACCAGCTTAATAAAATGACAACATTCTCAAAAGTTAACTCTAAAAAAATTAGCCCTCGAAACACAGGATTCTCAGGTGGCTGAGACCAAAGATTAGATTCTCTGTAGCTATCTGGCCTGGGGCAATGTCCCTCCTGCATCCAAACTACATTTAACTCAGATAATGGAATCTGGGATGTCAGAGCAGGAAGGAGCCTTGGAAATTAAACAGTCCAGTTTCTGCTGTTTTGCAAATGAGGAAAGTCCAAGGAGGTTAATTTACTTATCCAAAGTCACAGAGATGACATCAAAACCTAAGTTTTCACTTGTAAAATAGTTTCTGTGTGCTAATTCCCATCCTACCTCCCCGAATGGGTGCCAAGGTGACATCACGTGGTAAATGCATTCAAACTTCTCTCACTTTGGGGATAAGTGGGTCCCTTCAGCAATACAGTTTGGGGGAGAGTGTTGTTAAGCGATGGAAAAGAAATTTCTGGTTATGTTTACGCATGTTCACACCACTAGGTTGTTAGTTTGGTTGTTTTGTTTTGTTTTGCTTTATTACAGTGTTTACCACGGTTCCATTAAAGTACGGATCTGCCCATTCCCAGAATAATCATTTACAAATGACTACCAAGAGCACTGGATAAGACTGGTGTTCAACCTACCCAGCCTCAAGCAAATTTCAGAGTTAAGAACATATTTTATACCTTGGTCTGAGAGTCAAAAATCTCTGGTTCTTGAGAACTGTTGGCAGAGCTCGGTTCCTTTGGAAAATGGGCGTTAAGCAATCTCAGTGGGCTGCTAAAAATTTCATTTTTTGAAAGGAGAGTTTCTTTCCTCTTCCCTGGAAGTGACAAATCTGCCACTGTACACCTTCTTTGCTTCTTTTTCCCCCCCTCTCTCTTTTTTAAATAATACACACTTATACCCTCTTTTCTGAAACCCTGGGGCCAGATAAGAGCGGAATTTCAAGTTTTTCTACTTTTAGAAGGGTAGCACAGCACATACACTGGATCTGAAGTCACATCAGTGGGGTCTGGAGGAAGACTCCATAATCAAGCACATTTCTATGTTGTGGCAAACTATAAATATTCATACGAAGTGGGATAAACAAACCTATAAATAGCTTCATGTCAGTGCATTTCAGGTCAATTTTACCACTGATGGAGTAATCTTTAAAATTAACATTTCAGAGCTATTTAGATTTTTCAGTCCTGGCTAAGAAAGGATAAGCCTGTAGTGTTGGCATCAACGTGTTCTTCATGCATTAAATAAATGTGTGTATGTGTGTCTGTTTTCTTGGTCCACATTCAACCCTCATTTTATTAATGCACATTGGAAACGGCTCATTTTTGTTACATTTCTCTCAGAGAGGCGTTAGCTATATTTTGCTCTGATCTTGCTTTAATTCTTGGCTTTGCTCTGGGTAGGGTTTTCTGAGATGCTTCGGGATGGCTGGATGAATAAATTGCTTTCATGTTCCATCTCAGATGGTCCCCTTGCACCATCAAAGGACTTGGTAATGACTTGCTTTCCACTTGTACAATGCAATGCAGTTTTGTGATTTTATTTGGGAGGGGGGCTACTAAAGGTACCCATACCTGAATAAAATTATATTCAGAAAAAAAAAGGTGCAGGTAACGAGAGAACAGAGCACCCTGTTGAACCGTCTCCTTGCAGAAAAAGAAGTCTTGACCAGTCTGATTCATTTTGGAAATGGCAAGGAAAACTCTACTTTTCTTCTCGAATCTTCATAGTCTGATAAATACTAGTGCTCTAAAGATAGATACTTGAAGAGTTATCCAGAATATTCTTCAATGTCAACAAAGAAAACTGTGTTGGAAAACTACCTAGCAGGGAAAAAAAGGATCTGCCTGGTGTAGGAGAGGCTATATCCACAGAAATAATACGTGCAGGACTTGAATTGTTGCAAACAGAGGAAACCACTGACTATGCCAAAAAAGTGAAAAAGAAAGAAGCAAAGAGCTACAGGTTTTAAAATTGTAACTATGGCCTAGTGTATAATAAAAGCTATCCAGTAGCAGAGCTATTTCCGAAAGCCACATTTCACATGCAATGCCACTAAAATACCAAAGGCCATACATAACGTCTGACCCTTGCTGCCACCTCATATAGAAATTCTTACATGGGAGCTTAAAAAAAAAAATTGCTTGACTGGTCCACTGTCCTGCGGCCACGGAGACGGCTTTGTCTGGAATATTCCATTTCCAATGTCTCTCACACTTCCCTCTTTTCAGATGCACAAAAGGGTTTTGTAAAGTTTCTCTTGGTTTTATTGCCGGCGGCTGCAGAAACCACGCCACATGCCTGCTGGAGGGTTATGGGGTGTGATTTTATGGGACTGGTGTCTTCCGAGCTGCCCAGATTTTTTTAATACGGGTGAGGGTTTCCCGAAGGGCTGTTCAATGAAAACCTGTGGTTATTCCAAGTCTTTGCTGGACGGTGGTGAACAAAGCTCCTTCCCGGGCCGCACGCCGGGCCGGGCCCGCGCCTCCTGCAGGGACTCGGGGTGCGGGCACCCCTTCTCGGGCTAGGTCCTGGGCTTGGGCCCTAAAACCCTTTCTAACTAGTGAGACTGCGCCGCTTGTGCCGGCTCCGGCAACACCGCGGGGCGTCCACTCCGCGGCCCCAGAAGCCCCCTCGGCCAGTGGCCGAGCACCCCCGAGCCGACGCCCCGACTTCTGTGTCACCATTTCTCTGTCTCCCTTGTCGGAGGCTCACTGGGGTAGCCCTGGTCTGCGGGGGGCACCGCCGGGTCTGTCCGCTCCGCAGCGCGCACCACGGCGGCCACTTTCCACGCTGCCCGACGACGGCCCCTCTGCCCCTTTCACCCCTACAGGGCACCCCTTTCTCGCTTGCACCCGCCTCCCCGCCCCCTGGAGACCTCCACCCCTAAGAATGGGCAAAGAGCCCCCCCTTTCCCTGCCTCGGAGGGGGTGAGGCCTGGGTGACTCCAAGAGGCCGGGCCGGCTCCAGCCTCATCCTGGTGGGGGACCCCGACCCCAAGTGGCGGTGGGGCGCGGGCGGAAGCGCCCAGAGCCGCGCGCAGCGTCCGGTAGGGGGCGACCTCCCCCCGCTTTCTGGGCGGCGCTCTGGCGGGGGGGACCCCAAGGCGGGCGGCCGCGGGGATGGGGGCGCGGGGGCCGGGCCCGGCCGGGCGGGGGGGCGGGGGGCGGGGGGCGCGGGGCCCGGCGCCGAGACAATGGGGGGGCCGGGGCGGGGGCGGGGCGCGGCGCCTCCTTCCCGGCCGGCTCGGGCGGCGGCGAGCGCGGGATTGGCGGCCGGACCCGCCCCCGCCCCGCCCCGCCCCGCCCCGCCCGCACCGCCCCCCGCCCGCCCCCCGCCCCCCGCCCGCCCCGCCCCCCGACTCGCGGCGGCGGCGCTCCGTGTGCCTCGGGCTCGGGCTGCTCCGGCGGCGGCGCCTGGGGGGCTCGGCGGGCCTGAGCGCGGCCCCTGCTCCCGCCGCCGGCCCGCGCCCCGCGCCTCCTCCCTTTGTCCGCGGCCGGCGAGCGGCGTCCGGGCGGCCGGCTCGGCCCCGCGCCCCGCGCCCGCGCCCCGCGCCCCCCGCGCCGCGGCGATGCCGGACCAGATCTCCGTGTCGGAATTCGTGGCCGAGACCCATGAGGACTACAAGGCGCCCACGGCCTCGAGCTTCACCACGCGCACGGCGCAGTGCCGCAACACCGTGGCCGCCATCGAGGAGGTGCGCGGGGGCGGGGCGGGGCGGGGCGGGGGGCGCCCGGTGCCCGCCCGCGCGGCCGGCAAAAGTTCCGTCCCCCGCCGAGCGGACGGGGGGGCGCGCCCTGCCGCGCCGGGGCCCTTTGTTCGTGCCGGGGCCCCCGCGGGCCTCGGGCCCGCCCGCCCGCGCGCGCCCCGCTCCCGCCCGGCCCCCCGCCGCCCGCGGACCCGCAGGTCGGGGCGCGGACTTGGGGGCCCCGCGCCGCCGCCCGCCTGGCGCCGATCTCCCCGCGCGGGGCGCGCGGCCTCCCGGGGCGGGGGCGGGGGGCGCGGGGCGCGGGGAAGGTGCGCTCCGGCCGGGGGCGCCCGCCGAGGCCTCGCCCGCGTGTCCCCCCGCCCGCCCGCCGAGGCCTGGCTGCGGGGCGCCGTCACCCCGCCCGGGGGACGCGGGGAGCCCCCGCCGGCCGAGCATCCCCGGCGCGAAGGGCAGAGTCTGGGGGGGCCGGGCCGGGCAGCCCCACCCCTCAGGCCCGCCCGCCCGCGCGCCTGCCCGGCGCCCCTCGGGGCTGCGGGGTCCGGGAGGCGCCCCGAGACCGGGACCAGCCGCGGAGCCGCCTCCGCCCGCCGCCGAGACCTCAGCCTTAACACGGGGGTGTTGTGGGGCCTCGGGAGAGGACCGGCGTGAGGAGAAGGGCGGGGGCTCTGGCCAGGGGTGCGCGTCGTGTCCCCGAGCGCCGCGGGGCGCAGCCTGCGCGCCCGGGAGCTGCTGAGGGAAGAATCCGAGCCGGCCCCGGGGCCCGCGCAGCGCGGCCAGAGCAGACGAGAGAGACTCGCGAGGGGCTCCCCTGCGCCTCCCCAGCTTCCCTGACCCCCACCGGGGTTCCACTGCGGCGCGGGGCTCACGGTGCCGCCTTCCCGGGGCAGGTGGCCGTGGGTGGGAGTTTCCCCAGAAGTGCTGGCTGAGCAGCAAGAGGGAATTTTTTTCAGGGATTTCAAAACACACCCCCAGTGTTTGTGGCGTGAGGACGACCCCACGGCCGCTCTCACTCGGGGCAGGAGGGTCCGGGCGCACCTGGGAGAAGCTGGGCCTCACCTTCCGCTCTTTCCCCCCTGCAGCTTGTCAGGTAAACACAGTGGGCCGCGGAGCTTGCAAAGCCGAGCAGAAGGGAATTGCTGTTAAAATTGCTGGTACTTTTGCTGATTAATTTTTGTCTACACTGTGTAATTCCCAAGCCCTCCCTGTGTTGTGAGTAGATCACCCCGAGCTCAGGGACCCCGCAGAGGAGGAGGAGACTGGGTGTCGGTGGTGAAGTAACGGTGCTGAGAGGCTGGCCTGGCCGCGCGGCCATCCGAGCACGGGTCAGCGCAGGCCTCAGAAATGAAGTCGTGGACGTGGCTCCCTGTCTTACTGTCAGCAGCTGCCATACATGACAGCAGGACAGGTGAGCCGGGGCTTGCGACCCAACTGGAAAGTTGTTTCCTTCCTGAGGGTCGTTCCCTGCAGTCCTGGGCCGGCCGCTCCTTTCCAGAGAGCTTGAGTCGCCCCCATTCCCCAACTTGTTCCAGCTCTGGTTGCGCGAACAAGCAATGCCCAGGTATCTCGGCTCTCAATAAGCCTCTACTTTCTCCTGGAAACAAGACTGGAGAGCAGGGCTGGTGACATAAAACTACTCATTTGGCTGAAACTCAGCACACAAAATGGCAGTTTCCATTGCAGCCAGCGAGCGCCGGCTCCGCGGCCCGAGGGTGCTGCTCTGACCGGCACGCCCGGGCTGGACTGTCCGCAGCTCCTCCGTCCCCATCTGCGCTCAGCCCATCCTGTTGTGGCCACACCTCACCCCTGCCTTGCCCGAGGAACCTGAGACTGGGAAAGGTTTGTTTTGTTTACTCAAGGTGACAGAGCCATTAAGTGGAAGAGCTGGAATTTGAACTTGAGTCCAGCTGTTTTCAGAAACTGCCGCTTTCTGTTTCTTCTGACAATGCTGAAGGCTCCCACCGCCGCTGTCAGCCAGCCCTGGGTGCAAGTTCATTCTCCCACTTGCTAGTGGTGTGAACTTGGGGGCGGGGGTGGGCTAACATTTTTTCCTTTTCATTGGTTTTAAAGTCTGGCTAACAATGCCTGTCTGCTTCAGAGGGCCGGCCTAGGCTTCCGACATGACCCACAGCTCTGGGCCTGGCAGACAGGCTTTAAAGATGCTGCCTGCTGCACGGGCCATCCTAAGTTCATCATGCACAGAAGGGCAGGGTTGGGGGGGGGGTGTTGGGCTGAGGATGGGGATTACCTGGGGGAGAGGGGAGTCGAGGAAGCGGGTGAAGCATGAACCCACACTCCCCTTTTAACCCTTGTCATGTCAGAGCAGGTGAATGTAAAACTGTTTAAAGCACTGACTTGCTGACCGTTTTCTCTGGGTGAGTTATTTTGGACACTGGTGCTGCAACTGTTGTCCGTCCTGTGTTTTTGGAAGCATTGGGGAAAATAAGTAGATGTGAAGTCTGAGAAGTGAGCTGCCGGGTATTTCAGTTTCAGTTTCATTGAGTCTCTGGGCCCTCAGAGATATTCTCAAACAGGGGAAGACCGTGTGCACACTTGGCATATTCTTGTGTATCATTAGACTCCCCCCTTCAGAGCCACGTCCAGCCGGCCTTGCTTATTTGGCTGTGTTAGATATGGGGTTTTAAAAATAAATTGGATGTTGACTCTAAGTATTAAATTTTAATCTGCTTCCTTCCGGGGCCATAATTCTCTACTCTGTTGTCCTTGGTTACCTTGGAAATCTCGTTGCTGTCACAGCACCAGGCTCTCACTGCGGGGTGCAGTGAGCATCTGGGCGCGCCGACTCCCAGGGGCCCTGCTGTCCTTGGGGCCAGGCGCCCCTCCCCGCAGTGACAGTGGGAACCAGGCCTGCCAGCCTTGCAGGCAAGAATGTGATTCTGAATCTCGGCGCTTGTGACTTCTCCGCGCAGCAGCTCCTCGAGTCCCAGATGGCAGATTTCAGTTGTCAGGCATCAGTTGTCAGGCATCACCTCCTGGCCCGGTGCCTTCACGCAGTGGGGCGCGCCCGTGTGGGTCACGCTCGGCCACCTTTGCCTCCTGGTTCTGAAGTCTGGATCTGTGTGTTTGGGGACTTGAGTCATCCAGGGAGGGAACGATCTTGAGTGATTCCTCCCCCATTCAGTTTCTCCCCTAGTGATTCAAGGAACGGATGCTGGCCCTAGAGGCGCCGGCCCTCCCTCGTGGGCAGCGCGGCTGTGCGTCCCGGCCGTGGCCTGCTGGGTGGAATTTGTTCTCCTTTGGAAGAGCCGGCAGCTTAGTGGGGCAGACAGAAAACCTATAAACAGGCCAGTGCAACAAGATGCGGCGGGGACTTTGGCCCCTGGATTGCCCAGACTCCTGCATGCCCAGGGATGGGCACGGTCAGGAGCGCCTGGGGCTGTGGCTGGGAGGGCCTGGTATGATCGCGCGGGCTTGAGTCCGGGGAGTCAGATCTGTGGTCCCCCAGCTTCAGTCACTAAGGCCTCTCAGCATGGCCTTGCTAGCTGCCTCCCTGCCTTAGGCAAATATGGGTCCACCCCTGCGGTGGCGGCCAGCGAGTCCTCCGGTCACGTTCACCCAGCACCCTTCACAGGGCTGCTCAGGGCAAGAGTTTGGCTTCGTACACTCATGGAAGGCGCTGATGCCTTCCTAGACACGCGCGGCCTCCGTCGTGTGTAATATGAAAGGTGAACATTTGCTTCCTCAGCAGAGCCGTCCGCATCGCAAGTGGCCACACGTGTGCTGGCCAGTGAGCACGTGGTCCTTGTTGCAGAGTTATGTGGACAGTGCGCCTTCAATCCCTGCACCTCCCAGAGGGCCCCCGGCCCGCTGCCTGGCTCCAGGGAGCTGCGGGAGCCGAGCCCCACCCGAGAACAACGAGTCCAAGCCCACACTCGGGCCTTCCCTGGAAGCTTTCGGCACATTAACGCTGGGGAAGCTCTGGCCCGGCCAGGAACCCTGGCTGTGCCTTAGCATCACTGGGGCGGGGGTGGAGCAGAGACGCCTGGCCCCACTCCCTGGGGGCCAGGGAAGTTCAGACTTAATTGGCTGGGGTGGGCCTGCAGTGTTGGCACTTTTGAAGGTGATGTCAGGTAGCGGTGAGTGCCGTGAAGAAGAGCTTGGCAGAATACAGGCCTTGGAGGGGGCGATCAGGCGAGGCCCCTCTGGAGAGGTGTTGTCAAGCAGAGCTGGGCTGGACTGGAGAGGCACCGGCCTCTGGAGAGACGAGGGGTGGAGAGAAGGCAGAGAGGAGAGGCGTGGGCAGGACGGCATCACCCAAGGCCTTGCCGGTCTTGGTGGGCGATTTGGATTTTGTGCCTATGCGACGGGAAGCTGTTGGGGAGCTTTGAACAGGGAATCGTTTGATCAGATTCACATTTTAAAAATTCCTCCGTGGTGGTTCCTGGGAGAATAGACTCACGGTGCTTGAGCAGAAAGAGGCAGGCAGGTCAGGGATGGGGGTCTGTGGCCGTCGGAGGGTTTGGGCCAAGTGGCAGCTGTGGGGGTGATGAGAGGTCAGGGGGAGGTGATGCCTGGGTAGAGGAAGGTGACGGCCGTTCTCTGCTGTTTCCAGGCCGACCACAGCTGGTGACACTTCTTGGCCGTGTTGGCGCCTGATGCTGGCCCGACCTCAGCCCCCGAGCTCTCCTCTCTGCCTGCCGAGAGGCGTTGCACTCTGCAGCCTTGCTCGCGCTTCTCCCCGTCACGCGGCCCGGAGAGCAGCTTGCAGGCCCTTCCCGGATCTCTGTGCCATGGGGGGTGTCAGCTCCGGTGCTGAGTGACCCTTCACCCACCAGCGCCGGGCTGTGATGCCCCGTCGTGGTGATGGTGGTTTTCTCAAGGACTCTGGTGTGTGTTGATCCTTAAGTCCTTAAGTTACGTGGGGGGGCGCCCCAGGCCGGGGCTGCAGGGGTGGGGCGGGGCGGGCCGCGGTTGAAGCACACATGCGTGTATTTTATGCTCTTGACCTTGTCTGTGCCGTGGGCCCCCTG